TTCCTATGTTGATGATTGATTTTAAGGATAAATGCAGGTTAAATTGATAGTTTATTTTTGCTATAGCGACTGTCAGCAAGATCCCCAAGCTTAACCTTTGCTCATCCCTAAGCAAGGCTAAATCTAAGCAATGGATCAGGAGTTGCTACACTATTTTCACTCCTTAAAAGTACACAAGTGTTCAATCAAAAATTCTCCTCTGGATTGAAATAAACTAATTGAACTTTCAAACTCACCCATATTACCTTCAACTTCATGGGGCTTCTTAGCCATCACTTGGGTCTTGAGTAGTTGAAAGACAGAATGATCAAGTCAGGCACTATGTCTCAAGTTCTTTTGCTCAATCATCATTTCAGAGGTTTTATAACTTTTCAAATAAACTCAGAGATTCCATTGTATGACACTCTCAAGTCTCTCTATATATGTGGTATTTTTGGATCCTTACCAAGACATAACTTGTTGTTGCCTTTTCTTCCTACAACTAAAGCTTTTGTGGAGCTCATAGGTAGGGAGAAAGCGTGTACATAATTGCAATGCATATATTATAAAGCCAAACCTAGGATCCAAAGAGAAAATTGTCATACAATCAAACCTATATGTGCATATGTGTGGATATATGTGATGGATGAACAAAATCTATTATGCTACTTGAAACATATCTCTTGGAACTTGGAGTATTTTTGTGAGAACATGGGCTATCTTTATTCTCATCTTTCTTTTTCTTTTTTCATCATATTTTTTTCTTTTCTCTTTCTTTCTTCTCTCCTTCTTCTTTTTTTTCTTAGTAACTTGGCTAGATATAGGTTCCTATCGGATTTATCAAGGGAGCAAACCTAGACTTATAGCTCTTCTTTGAAACCGAAAAGAAGGACTATTCGAAAAATGTCTTCAACAATATTTGTGGTTGACAGGAGTTTCTTTGGCATTGTACTGAACCTCCTGGTAGGTCCCGAAGCATTCTTTTGGGAATTAATTTGGAGTTCTTTGACATTGGTAGCATTGAGGAAGGAGACTTTTATGTAAAGTTTCAAGTTAAAAACAAAGTGGATGGCTTTCAGTGGGTGCTTACTACTGTGTATGGGGTGGCACAAGTAGAACATGAAGAGGCCTTCCTCTCTGAATTAAACTTGTGCAAAGGAATCAGATCCAGTTCTCATGGGTGGTGATTTTAGTATCATCCGAAACCCCCAAGAGAAGAACAGTTAGAGATATGAGATTGATGCCCTTTCCTATTCAATGCCATTATTGATAGCCTGAATTTGAGGGAGCTAGATCTTTCCAACAGGAAATTTACTTGGGCCAATTTCAGGGAAACACCCACATATGAGAGACTAGACCGAATCTTAGTTAGTATGGAGTGGGAGTCCAAATTCACGCCGGCAATGGTTCAGGCGTTGACATGGGAAATTTCAAATCACACCCCGCTACTTTTACACACCGGTAATGGCACACATGGTAACAAACAATTGGGGTTCAAATTTGAACTCGGTTGGCTATTGAGAGAACACTTTAGTGAATTGGTTGCTGGAGTCTAGAGAAGGGAATAGGGAGGTAATACCCCTCTGCAACGTTGGCAATGTGAGATACAAAGGCTTAGACAATTTTTAAGGGGGGTGGGCTAAAAATGTTAGTAGGAATTATAAGAAAGAAAAGTCCAAGATGATTAAAAAGCTAAGGCACTTGACAAAAAGGAGGTGGTGCAGCCATTAACCTCTGAAGAAATTGATCTTAAAAATTATTATAAACAAAGACTAACTCTTCTCTTGTGGGAAGAGGAGGTCAAATGGTATCAAAGAGCCAACACAACTAGGTCGTTATCAGGTGACTGCAATACTAACTATTTTCACCTGGTAGCTAATGGCAAGCATTGAAAGTCTCGGATTTTCTAATTAGACCAAGATGATGGAGTAATTGAGGGTGATGGAAATCTAAAGAAATTCATCACAATTTATTATAAAGGCTTGTTGGTGAACCGGCTAGTAACCAGTTTTCTTTGGTGGAGTCTGTCACTCATGACATTCTAGAAGTCTCACAACTTAAAAATGAGGTCTTAACAGCTAAATTTTTAGAAAAAACAGTTAAAGAGGCTATTTTTCAAATGGAGCATAATAAATCAAATGGACCTGATGGGTTCCCGGCCAAGTTCTATCAAGTTTTTTGGGAATTAAGTAAAGGGGATCTTCTGCCCTTATTTGATGAATCTCCCCGAAGGTAATTTACCTCTTTATTACCTAAATTTTGGTACAATTATGTTGCTACCAAAATAGATGGAGGTGATGCAAATCCAACAATTTCGACCCATTTGTTTACTTAACGTCAGTTTTAAAAAAAAATCTAAGGTTTTGGCTAACCGAATGGCCCTAGTGGCTCAAAAGGTGATCCAACCCTCCCAATCGGCTTTCATGAAGGGTAGAAATATCTTGGAATGAGGTAGTTATTCTACGTGAGACCATTCACGAGATGCATAGGAAAAAGTTAGATGGGGTGATCTTAAAGCTAGACTTTGAGAAAAACCTATGACAAGGTTAAATGGTCTTTTCTCCAGCAAACATTAAGAATGAAGGGCTTCTCACAGTAGATCAAATCATGAGGGGCAGCAGTGTAAACATTGACGTAAATGACGATGTGGGACATTTCTTTCAGACCAAGAAATGTGTAAGACAAGGAGACCAACCTGTCTCATATCTTATTTAACTTGGTGCAGATATGTTAGCAACTCTAATTCTCAGGACTAAATCCAATGGAAGAATCAGGGGAGTTGTCCCACATCTAGTCGATGACGGTCTCTCAATCTTGGAATGTGCGGATGACACATCTTATTTGTGGATCATGATATGATACAGGCTACGGAACTAAAACTTGTGCTTAGCTTCTTTGAGCAATTATTAGGATTGAAAATTAATTTTCACAAAAGTGAACTTTTCTGTTACGGGGCAGCCAAGGACTGTGAACAAGAATATGCACGCTTGTTTGGATGCCAGATGGGAAGTTTCCCTTTTCGATACTTAGGTATTCCAATGAATCATATAAAATTATCCAACAAGGATTGGGCTTGCATTGAACAGAAATTCCAGAAAAGACTCTATAGTTGGAAAGGTAAACTAATCTCAGTTGGGGGACGACTGGGCCTCATTAATTCAATACAAACTAGCTTAGCTATGTTTATGTTATCTTTTTTTGAAGTCCATAGAGGAGTCCTTCAGAAATTAGGTTAGTATCGTTCATGTTTTTTCTGGCAATGTGACGAGCATAAAAAGAAATACCGTTTTGCCAAGTGGAGTATTCTTTGCACACCAAAAGATTTTGGTGGCATAGGAATACTTAATCTACACCTACAGAATAGATGTCTATTGAGCAAGTGGTTGTTTATGTTGATTAATTAATGGATGGGGTATGGCAAAACTTTTAAGAAGGAAATATCTGTCAAATAATCTCTAACTCAAGTGTATCATAGGCCCGGGGATTCACATTTCTGGGTGGGACATATGAAGGCAAAGGATGCTTTTTATCTTGTGTCACTTTTAAGGTACAGTGTGGGGGAACAAGTGTGCTTTTGGAAAGATGTGTGGTTATGAGATAAACCTCTTAGTATGGTTTATCCTACCCTATTTCGAATTGTGAGGCGCAAAGATGATACAGTGGCGAATGTCCTTGGTTCTGTACCACTAAATATGTCCTTTAGATGAGGTTTGGTTCATGCGAACCGAATGGCTTGGTTTGACTTAGTGTCAAAGGTAATACAAGTGGGCCTCACAGATGAGAAGGATGTTTTCCGATGGAACCTTACTAAGAATGGTTTGTTCATAGTCCTATCCTTATACTCAGCTTTCATCTGAGAGGGTGTTCCTCCTGATAAAAGCCCTCTTTGAAAATTAAAAATACCACTTAGAATTAAGATTTTTATGTGGTATTTAAAAAAGATAACTTAGACAAGAGGAATTGATAGGGAAGTGTTAAATATTGTCTTTGTAGTTCGGTTGAAATGGATCAACATTTATTCTTTAACTGCCACTTTGCACGATTTGTTTGGAATACCGTGCATATCACCTTTGGAATTCAACCACCTTCTAACTTTGCCAATTTGTTTGGTTCTTGGCTACAAGGTTTAAGCTTAAAGCTTTAAACCCAAATTTTGATAGGAGCTGCTGCGCTTTGTTGGTTAATATGATTGAATAGAAACGATATGGTATTTAACAAAGCTAAATCTAACACATTGATGCAGGTAATTTTCCGGACGACATATTGGATCCATTAGTGGTCCACATGTTGTATAGGGAGGAGGAGCAACCACTACTCATGGAAGGATACAGATGGTGGGAGACTATGGTCGTGGCTATTTTTGCGAAGTTTGATGGAGCTTCTCGAATCGTAATGAGGCTTAGTTTCTCTGATTTTTCTTGTTGCGCCCACTACGTGGGCTGAACCTTACTTTTGTTTCCTTATGCGTTTGTAAGCCCTATGGCTTTTGTTTGTACTGCGATTATCAGCTGCGTACCATTCTCAGAAGGTAGAGGCTGGAACCTTGTTCCATTATCTAAAATAAATGAATTGATTTGATATAACATGAGATCGAATGATGAATCAATTCGATCTAAATCATTATAAACTATATAAGCAGGATATTATATCATGTTTAAATAGGAAGGGGGCCCAAAAGTTGGGTTTCAAAATTCGTTGTTTGTAAATGCATGCGTGAATCAAACTGAATATATATAATTGAGTCAACAACAACAAAATCTTGAAAGAAGTTTTTTTTGTTTTTAAAATCTTGAAAGAACCATCAAACTTGAAATGAAAAACGAATGGACGGAGCTGTATTTATTTCTGTTTAGACGGAGCTATATTATTACAAGGTAACCTTAGTTTCCTGTATATGAACATTCTCAGCTTTGACATTTAGGAAAATTATTTTAGCAAGAAAGTTGGAATCACCATTTGTCTTACAACAATACAAAAATCTGAAAAATGAACATGTGGTTTATTTGTCAAGAGATCGGCAGCTACACATCAATTCTCCTGGTTCTGCACATGGTACTGCGATTGCGCAAGTAGGTCTCCTTCATTTGCTTCAACCTTAGGAGAGAATCATGCATGCTACTTCGTTTATCTGGAGATTGGGCAACACAAGATAAGGCCACTTCCATCACGGGAACTAACAGGCAGTTCAGTAGTAGCTGCTCGGTATTACTTTCCTGCACTCCTTCGGAGATGGCATCAGTGATAGCGCTGATGAGTCGCTTGTCAACTACATCGTGAGCTTGACGTGGGAAATTATGTCGCACCCATTTTGTAAGATCCATGTCCCCTCCAAAGCTCTGTTCGAGAGGGCTCTTCCCAGTGATCATCTCGAGGAGCATCACGCCATAGCTGTAGACGTCACCCCTTGTTGATGGTTTACTCCCGTATCCATATTCTTCATGCATGACACAAGTTAAAAGCACAGCAGGTTAACTAACTAAAGTAGGCCAGATAAATATTATTTCGAAATTAATGAACAGTAGGTATGAGTACCTGGTGGAATATATCCAATGGAGCCTGTAAGTCCATGAATACTGGAAATAGATTGTTGTTCTGGTTGCGTTGGAGCCAACAACCGGGCTAAACCAAAATCACCAATTTTTGCGTTCATATCCCCATCCAGAAGCACATTGCTCGGTTTGATATCACAGTGCACCACAACCTGTTCCCCACAGTCATTGTGCATGTACTCCAGTGCACTGGCAACATTGATGGCGATGTTGAGCACCTCTTCAGCGTTGAGCCCCGCCCCATTCTCATGATGTCTGCGTCGCTGGATCCAGTCTTCCAGGCTTCCATTGCTCATTAGCTCATAAACCAGAGCACGGAACTCGTTGCCAGAAAAATCCGCACTGGCACAAATTGTGACCAGCTTTATGAGGTTACGATGCCTCACATTTCTTAGAGTCCCACACTCTGCCACCCAGGTCTTTGGTGCTCCCATCTTATGCAGGTCCAGTACTTTGATGGCCACTGGTGTTCCATCATGTAGCATAGCTTTGTACACCGAACCAAAGCTTCCGACCCCGATGAGGTTCGCCTCGTCGAAGGTGTTGGTCACGTGACATAGCTCATTGTATGAAATAAGCCGGTGATTTCTTCTGATTAAACTACCTGCTACTCTTGACCTTGCATTTGCTAAATGTCTCCTGGACAAGTGCATAACAAAAATCACACCAAGGATTGAAATGGCAGCTGCTGATGCAGCAGCAACTACAATGACAATGTGCATTTTTCGGCGGTCAGAGGAATATTGCGAGTGGTAGCATGCCAAACTTGAGTCGTAGCACAGATTTGGGTTTCCATCAAGGTAGACAAAAGAGTGGTTCTCAAAGATTCCAGTGCTTGGAACCAGCCCACTAAGATCATTCATTGAGAGGTTTAATAGTTGAAGGTGCAGCTTGGATAGGCTCCCAGGTATGCTACCGGTTAACTTGTTGCTTGAAAGGTCTAGGCTTTGCAGAGCTCCAAGTGTACCAATACTGTCGGGGATCACTCCTGACATAGCATTTCTGCTCAAAGATAATGTTTGCAGCCTCTGGCACTGCCCGATCGAGCGTGGGATACTGCTGTTGAGTAAATTGTCTGACAAGTCAATGGCGATGATGTTCTGTAGCTGGCCAATTATCTCAATTGATGCAGCCGTAAGTGAATTGTGTGACAGGTTAAGAATAGAACTAAGGCTCCTGAGTTCAAACAGAGATGCAGGGATATCCCCATGGAGGTTATTGCTCGATATATCTAGCGAGTCAACATTTTGGAGGAGACCCAGCTCTTCTGGAACTCCACCAACCAATTCATTCTGTCCGATGTTCAGCGTTTCTAGCGCAGTAAGGTGCCCAATTTCCATTGGTACCGGGCCCGATAGCTTGTTCCTTGTAAGCTCAAGCACTTGTAGCTTCTTGAGATGGCCTATCTCTGGTGGGATACTCCTGGAAAGCTGATTGTAACTCATGTTGAGTAACGTTAGGGATGTTAAACGCCCTATGGACGGTGGTATTTGACCACTTATCTTGTTGGAACCAAGATACAGAAATGAAACAGAGCTTGACAGGTTGCCAACTGAATCAGGAAGCGAACCCCCGATGAGATTCTCAGCGAGTGCAAGGTACCGCAGCTTGGTGCAGTTTGTGAGGTCAGAAATGATTTTTGTTGTGTCAGAAATTTGATTACCCTGAATGTTGTACGTGACAAGGTCATCAAGTCCACTAAGACCTGGTGGCACTGAGCCGATAAGCAGGTTGTAGGACATCCTTATGGTTTCGATCTTTGTCAGATTGTGGAGAGATGATGGGATGGAACCATGGAACCTGTTGAAGCAAATGTTCAACGTCCGGAGGTTTGGGAGATGATAACCAAGATCACTCGGAATCTCACCGTAAAGGTCATTCCCTGGAAATGCAAGGAAAACAAGTGCAGAGATATTGTAAAGTGGCAGGGGAACAATTCCTGAGAGGATGTTACTACTGAGGTCTAGCGTTTGAAGCCGGTCAAGCTTACCAAGTTGGTCAGGAATGTTCCCCTCAAAGTGGTTATTCTGTAGCTTCAAAGAAATAAGAGCTGAGAGATTGCCAATGTGAGGGCTAATCCTTCCGGACAAGTTGAGACCTCCGATGTCCAACTCCAAGACCCTACCTGCGTGATCACAGATGATCCCCGTCCATGTGCACGCCGAGGAGCCATTATTCCCCCACGACGATAGTGCTCCTGACGGATCATTGGTGATACAGGATTTCAAAGCAAGTAGAGCCTCTCGATCATCCTTAAGGTTGCTGCTTGGAGTTGATTTACATGAACCTAACAGGAAAACAGTAGATAATAATATAGACACGGAAACCAGCCATTGAACGTAGATTCTCATCTTGACTTGGATCGTCTCTGCGTACAAAATTAATTACAATGAAAATTAAAGCAGATAACAAGAGCTAATAAACAAATATTATTAATCGAGAAAGCAAATTAAGGAAGTGATGGTAATTAGACAAAAAAGACATAAATGGGCACTGAAAGAAATGAGATGCATGGTGCAATAGATACCTGATTTTTTTTCCCAGAAAAAGCTGATAGAACTCGGGTGCAGTTAAGCTTTATTTGCCAGGAAGCTCCTGCAGATAAGCAGCACCCTTTCGCAATGTGAAGTAGGTATCGCTCCCGTCTATTATCCCAGCGACTACCATGTTTGAAGTAATCATGCTGACTAGTACAAAAGTGAACGTGAGTGTGAAGTGTGAACCCCTTGACAAGTTCACGGCGCACGCGAGGGAGACTGAGGCCTGTTTGGTTGGGCTTTTGGCTTTCGCTTTTGGTCCTAAAAGCTAAAAGCCCAACCAAAGGGACTGTTTTTGGAGGGTGCTTTTTCAGAAGCAGCTGCTTTTCCGTAGTTCATTTTTGAAAGCTGGTTTGACCCTGCTTTTGGCTTTTGGCTTTCTGCTTTTTGAAATTTGTGGAATAAAAAGCTTTTCCATAGTTGTTTCAAGAGAGATAAAGATAAAAGGTATATTTTATACTTGTTTAACAAAACAGCTTTCAGCTTTTCTACAGCTCACAGCCCACAGCAGCTTTTCCACAGCTCACAGCCCACAGCAGCTTTTTCCTACAGCCACAGCCCAACCAAACAGGACCTGAGGTAGGACGTGACTATCAGGGTGCTTTCTGTAAAAAAAAAAAATAGCCTAGTCAGCGCCTCCCGAAGGGGTATGCACCACTTAACAAGTTCAGGGGCACGAATTTTGATTTCGAGAGTTCGTGGACCTAAGTGGCACAACGCCACAAGTTTAAGGGCCACCAGTGTATTTAACTCCGAGAATAATACAGGGTGGTGGTAAGTCACAATCGACAATAGAAAAAATGAAAGAAAAACAGAACGTGAGGTGGACATAAATATGTGCTAATAAAGCTGATTCAAGAATAGAGAGCCATTTCTGGTTGTAAGTCACCATTGGGAAAAGAAAAACAGAAACCTGTGCTAGCGGACCACAAATTCCTGAGGTTTTTTTTTCGTGGGAACGGGAGGGGTTTAGACCCCTACTGGAATTTTATTAAAAAGAGGCAAAAAAAGGCGTAAAATTACAATCATGAAACGAAGGGCAAAAAGAAAATCAGAAAAATTACAAAGGTTCCTAGCCATAAATCTATCTGCGGGTGAAATTTTGGTTTTGCTCTGAGAACAATCAAAGCAAATTCCATCTTGAATACTTGTCTGCATCTTTGAACTGAACGTGAGATATTTCTTGAATACTTGTCTGCATCTTTGAACTGAAACTGAGAATAATCAAAGCAAATTACTTCTTGAACAAATTCCTGAGTTAATCTCGTTTTCATCCAAGCAAATGCGTTTGTACTTCCTTGTTGGCTTTTCCTTGTGTAATGCAAACATACCCATTTAATTGTTCCGGCCAGAGGGTATCATTGGCGATCGGCACTGTTGTCGATCAAAATTTAGACTTTGGGTAAAACCGGCCTGTAAGGTTTTCTAAAACCGTGGCTCAGTTCTGGAAAGCCACAAATTATAAATTGGTCTCTAATTACCATTGCATATGCACGATCGAATTGCATATGTAGATCATCTAATTTTTTTTGACCGAATCAGCAGGGGAATCCCCTACCTATATTTTTTTCTTTCTCAATTAAATGAAAGAATAAGAAGTACAGAGGGAACAAAGAGAAAGAAAAACAACAGTTACAAGGCATCTAGGCCCAAAACAAAAGAAGATTACATTACAAATAATTATCTCTCCAAGAATTAAGAGTGTTCTGTCTTGCTGGCTTGGCTTTGAGGCACACAAGGCCAAGTTCATTTTTGAACTGTCTTTTCCATATGTCAATGTTGATCTGTCCAATATAAAAAATGACTCCATTTCTGGTCATCCAAATGGTCCAGCAAGCAGTGATGAAGATTTCTCTGAAAATGGGACTCCCAAAAGCTGATCTGGTTTCTATTACCATATCCAAAGGCTGTAGGTTCAGATTCCAATCAATTGGGATGGAGTTCCAGCAAGACTTTTTTTTTTTTTTGAGAAATCAGGAGGAGCCAGAGGCTCCTACTGCAAATGCACTAAAAAGAGCAAAGAGTACAGTTACAAAACCAACCAAGTCTAAAGAAGGGGAGACAGAAACAACATCTGTTCACCACCAAGAACTTAGGGAACAGAGAAGGAAAGGAAAAAAATCCAGAAAATTACGAGTTGGAATTGATCCATGACTCTAATAAGGGGATGAATCTAGCTTTGCATCTATGGAGCAAAAGAAGTGCCTCCACTGTTATACAAGTCTTGCAGTCTTCCACCGAAGGATTTTTGTTTCTAAAAATAACATCATTCCTCATCATCCAGATCCCCCAGCAGAAGATGATGAAAATATCTAGAGAAAATTCAATCTGTAGCAGAGATTTCTAAGCTTGAATTTGTTGGATTGAAAGGTGGTCAGCAAAGTGAAAGTTCACCAAGTTCCAACAGTTTTTAGCAAAGGGGCAATAGAACAACAGATGCATAATTGTCTCCTCAGAGGATTGCTGACAAAGGACACATTGGTAATCATCTAAATGCATACCTCTTCTCCTGATCATGTTTCTAGTACTCAGTTTGTCCTTAAGGGCAAGCCAGAACATTTTTTGTGTTTTCCTTGGCAAGATGTCTTCCAAAGCCATTTATATATTGGTTCAACTTGAGAATGGCCTGTGAGTAATTTGTAGGCTTTTGAGGAGAAAAACTGAGTATTGCCCCAAATGTATGTCCATTTGTCATTCTCCTCATTAAGCAGTATTTCTGATAATTCAAGTTGGAATTCTTGCAGCTGGTTGTAAGCCTCAACTGAAACTGGTAGGCTGAACAGATCATGAAAGGTGACTGTATCAAGTGCCTTACTTAAACTTATTGATTTGTTCTTTGCAAAGGAATATAGCTCTGGATATTGTGATTTTCTTACTTGGCCATTCCATAGATCATCCCAAAGCAAACATGACTGTCCATCAGATATCATCACACTTGCCATCCCCTTGAACTTGTCAAGCAATTTCAAGACATCTCTCCACCAGAAAGATCCTTTTGGCACATTGGAACTTGGCAGCCTTCCATTTCTATAGTGTTTGTCCCAAATTAGCTCCACCCATGGCAGATTGCTCTTATTAAAAAATTTGTGCAGATGTTTGAGCAATAATGCTTTATTGTGAGTTTGAAGGTTGAGGACACCCAAACCACCTTCTTCTTTAGGGATGCAAACTATGGGCCATGCTGCCTTCGCCACTTTTTTGTGTTTGCTTCTGCACCTCTCCAAAGACAATGCCTTCTGTACTTGTCAGTTTGTTTTATCACTGTTTTGGGCAGAGCAACAGAGCACATGGTGTAGGTTGGCAAAGCTGTCAGTACTGAATTGGTGAGCTCAAGTCTGCCAGCTTGGCTGAGGAAGGGGGAGATATAATTCAGTCTTCTTTCACACTTGCTTATAAGGTGGAGAAAATCATCTACCTTTGGCCTAGTTAATCCCAATGGTAGCCCCAAATAGGTGAAGGGGAAAGAACCAGTCTGACAGCCAAAGGTTCTGGCAAGGTGATTAATTTTCAACCCTGTTGAGTCACTGAAGGATTGAAGGACACCCTTGAGGAAAAAGAGTTGTGTGGCTGAGGCTTCCAAGATGATCAAAGTATCATCTGCATACTGTATGACTGGGAAGTCTGAACTAGGAGATGGGATTGGCAGTCTAAGAAAACCATGTTGAGCTGCCTTGTTGAGGATGGATTGTAGCAGATCAGCAGCAAGGACAAAAAGCAAGGGAGAAAGGGGATCACCTTGCCTAACGCCTCTCTTGCAATGGAAGGTTTTTCCTGGCACTCTATTTAACAATACTACTGAGGTTCCACATTTGAGAATTGATTCAATCCATGATCTTCATTTCAATCCAAACCCTTTGTGAGCCAAAACATCCAAAATTACCTTATGTTATATCTTGTCAAATGCCTTTTCAAAATCTAACTTTAGGACCACAATTTCCTTCTTAGAGTGGTGGCATAAGTGAAGGTATTCAAAGGACCAAGCAAGACAATCTTGAATTGTCCTTGTCTTGATGAAGCCATACTGGTTTTGATGTACCAGTTGAAGGATCACACTCTGCAGTCTATTTGCTATAGCTTTGTAATCAATTTGATAGAGCAATTTAGCAAGAAAATTGACCTGAAATTACCAACTCGTTGATCCCCATCAATTTTTGGAATGAGAGTGATGTAGGAGTCATTTATGCTCTGAATGTTAGCTGTACCTTCTTGAAAAGCAACACAGAGAGCATAGAAATCTTCCTTGATAAAGTGCCAGCATCTCTTGATAAACTCATTAATAAACCCATCTAGACCAGGGGCTTTGTCATTAGGCAAGTTTCTGACAACTGCATCAATTTCTTCTCTGGTGAAAGGTTCTTCCAACCAAGTCAACTCTGAGTTATTCTCTAAGAAATAATTGAGGTTGAAGGCCATGGAGGTAAAATCAGAATGTCCCAATCTATCCTTGAAAGCTTCCCAAAGAATGACTTCCTTCTCTCCAAGATTGTGAACTATTTCCCCATTATCCTTCTGAAGCTGTGCTATCAAATTGTTTCTGTGCTTGATGGTTGCATTTGCATGAAAAAGCTTAGTCCCAGCATCTCCATCTTTGACCCATCTAATTTTGCTTCTTTGTTTTCAATAGATCCTCTGCAGCTCTAGAAGTTGGTTCAACTTTTCAATGAGAGTTTCTTTGAAATTCCATTCCATCACTGTCAAGTCTCTAGATTCTTCAATTATTTCTAAAAGAGAAAGGATGATCTTGGTATTATCCAGATTTCTTTTGAGGTTAGAAAGATTCTATTGCCAAGTTCTCAGAATTTTTCACAGATTCTTGAATTTGGCAGTGACTGCTTTTGCTTTGTCAGATTGACTGCCAATTTCTTCCCATCCTTGCTGTGCAATTTGTGTGAAGGATGGTTGCTGCAACCAATAGTTTTCAAACCTGAAAACCTGGCTTTTAGGGATAGCTGTTGAAATTGTTATGTTGCAGGGCTAGTGATTAGAGGTCTGCATTACCAAGGTACTAACAGAGGTGCCTGGATAAGAGGTGGTCCAGGAACTAGAAGTGAAGAACCAATCCAATCTCTCCATTAGTGGTGAGGGTTGCTTATTTGTCCAAGTGTATTTTCTACCATACAAAGGTAGCTCAATCAAACCCAAAGAGCTTATAGCTTCATTGAAGAGCCACATTTCATTCACATCCCCACCAGGTTAATTTCTGTCTTTAGGTTTTCTCAGAAGGTTGAAGTCCCCTACTATGAGCTAATTTTCTTCACCAATTGCTGTGTAGTGCTTGAACCACTGAATAAGCTTGTTTTTCCCTCATGAGCACAGGGTCCATAGACATTTGTTAAGTACCATGTATCACCGTTGTGTCTAGCAGTGAGCTTGATAGTTATGGCAAAACTGTTCTGAAAAATAAGCTGCCCAGTGAAGACAGGACTTTTCCATCCAGTGATTAGACCACCTGAAGCCCCAATGGAGGGCAAAAACTCAAATGAGTCAAATCCAGGGGGCTAAATTTTCTGAGGAATTGGGTGTCCCATATCTTTTTTTTGTTTCTTGAAAGCAAAAAATGTCACAGCCAGCTTCAACAAGTGTGTTTTTTATTAGATTCCATTTTTCATCTGAATTAATACCTCTGACATTCCAACATAGGACTTTCCAACCTCTTCGATTTTGGTTGCTCATGATTTAAAGTTTTGAGTAACACCGAAACGGAAAACTTAAACTTGAAAGAGAACATGAGCACTTAGACTTGAAATATAGCAGAGGCAACCACCATCTAAGAGATTTAAAATTTAACCAGTTCTAAACCATCCAGGACCAAGTAACAGACACAAAGTTCAACAGGAACCTTAACCATTTCCACTTGATAACTAGGGAGACTGAACAAGACCAAAAACTTAAACTAAAATGCACATACAGTGCAAAGTAAGCAAAGAGAAAAAAAAGATAGGCCATCTGCCCAGAACGCAAAAGTGTAGCGCCAATCTTTGACTCTAAGCTTCAAAATGGTCATCATTTCTTCATTTCTCTTTTGGTGCATCATCCTCTGGAGCAGAGGAGTTAGCACCTTCTTCATCTTGAAGATCATGATCATCACCCGCAGGCCTCACATTCTTCTTGATTTCTTTCTTTCTGGCAGTCTTCTTAGTCTTCCCTTTCTTCTGACTCTCAGCTTCTTTGTCACCTTGAGCAGCAGCAATAGCATCATTAGGCTTCAAATTCTCCTTCGAAGCCCTTTTGTTGATAGTCTTGCAGGATCTCTTCTTTTTCTGATTTAGAGCCTTTTCAGTCAAAAGATTTTCATTAATTTTGCATAGTCCAGTACCCAGCTTTCTGATCATATCTAGAGAAAGGTCAGGTGGATTAGGGTTGCAAGCAAGGCATTTCTTGCTAGCACAGCTATCTGCTTTGAAACCCTTGTTAATTTCTTTAAGCCTGGGACTCCTTCTCACTTCACTCTCTACAAGAGGTGTTCTCTTCTTAGGAATATTTTCAGCAATTGTCATCCAGGGCTCACCGACTTCCTTTTCAAGGTTGATCTGCTGCTGAAAAGTGGGGAAAACTGGTGGATCATCTCTCAGCATAATTGCACCAACCTGTAAGAAATGATTTCCTGCATCCTCCATTAACTGTTCTTCATTCATTTCATCAATGTCAGGCTCATCTCCATTTAACAGCATGTGCAGTGGGATTTCTTCATCAATCATAGGCTCAATTGGCAGATTGAAATGAGGAACCTGCACTTCCTCATGGATCTGCTCAGGGTTCTAATCTACAGGGGGATCATTAAGATTGAGACCAGGGTTCTCCACTGGTTGGATGACTTCTTCAACTTGATCAGCTTCCTGCAAGAGATCATTTAGTTCCAGAATATCCCCATTCAGAGCACCAGGGGCTGCTGCAGGATTAATGATAACTTCTTGCATGTCAGGGTTTGGAAGGTCCATGTTTAAGTCAATTTCCATGTTCTGAGCAGGGACTGGTTGCTAATTCTAAGGAGCTGGCCATTCATCCCAAGGAACATTCTGAGCATTCTGAGCTGCAAGTCCCACTGAGCATTGGGATTGATCTCTTCCACCTCTTGATTAGGTTGATCCTCCTGTTCTTGATTGTTGCCTGCATTATCCTGTCCAAACTGAAACTGCTGAATGTTCTGCCGGTTATTTTGCTGACCTCCAAACACAAGATCAGCCCCAGGCTGAAACTGCTGAATGTTCTGCTAATTGTTTCACTGTCCTCCAATCACAGGACCAGCCCCAGGCTGACCTAAGCCAAAGAAATCAAAAGAAGCCAAATGATCCAGATGATGAGGATCTGGATCTTCAGGTGGAGGACCTCCTCCACCAAAATGATGACTCACTATTTCACATTGTATAGTCCATGAATCTAGATCATTTCCAACCCCATCAGAGTAAACAATCCATTGAGGAACGCTTTGTAGATCAGCAACCCTAGCTCTAACAAGCAAACTGGTAAGGCGCCTTCTATTATTTATCCAATTGTCCAATCTACCAAAATAGCAAACTGCGTCTTGGATATAATCAGTCTCCCAATAATCAAGAGGGAAGCCCATCAACATTAACTAGCATTCATGATTAAGGTTTGCCCTATGCCAATTTCTCCCTTGATTGTGCCTAGTAAAAGTGACTTGAACATCCCCCATTGGCAAAGGACTGTTGATGACTAAAACATCTCTATCATTTGGGTAGTTGAGATAGACTAGAGCTTGACCAAGATGACTCAGCTGAATATCAGTGAAAGCAATGTGCCTTTCTTCAAAAACTCCTCAAGGACCTCTCTAACAGAAGGAAAATGCAGAGCATTACCAGGTAATGGATTGATGGTGACGATGGCCACTGTCTCGTTCCTTTGTTGGGGTCTTGATCTTACCACTGCACGCACCGTGGGGATCCTTCCAGGTATGTTGATCTGATGCATCCCATTAGGGACGAAAGGAGCAGCATCCGCACGATGATAGGCCATCATTGGATCAGCGCTATCAGGGTTTAGTTGGAGTTCTTGCGTAGATTGGTTGGTAGGCGAGATGGGGTTTGCACACTAGGTCTCTTGATCAGAAGGGAGCTCAGGGGGTATATCATGCGACGTTGAAGCCGAGAAGACACCACCCAAAGAGAGAGAGCAAGAGACTGGTCCCACCTTAGAAGACGAGGGGACATTCCATTTCATAGTGATCGGCCACCGCGGCGCAAAGGGCAACTGAATCGTTTTCACAAGCATGGAAGATGCAAGGTCACTGAAAGACTCAAAAATTGGGGGCCTGCTAGAGGAAGGCCTAGTGGGCTGCTTTGGGTTTTGGTGAAACCAGGATGAGTACATGGACAAAGCCACCGATCCATTAGTAGCGTCTAACGATAATTTCCCCTTTGAAATTACTTCCTTGAAACATGTTACCGCCACATGTCCCCACCCATGGCAGACAGGACATTTAGTGGCGTTGTTACAGCTGTTTCTTGAGTGATTCAAAGCCAGGCACCTTGAGCACCAAGCTTGATTAGAGACTGAGTTAGAGCACGGCACAAGAACCAAGGAAGAACTTCTCTATTTATGGCTCAGTTCATTCGGTTGCAAGCGCTCAAAAGCAAAGATTCTTGGAAAAACAATTCTGTCAAAAACTGACTTTCTAGAGGAATGCTTCAAAACACCATTGCCTAGAGGAATCAGACTGGCACCAGAAAGGGGCGGACTTTTTACCGCATCAGCAAAGGAGCAGTTATGATTAACTTGAGCACTGCGTGAAGAGGTTTGACTGACAGAAGTCCAGGAGGCAGCTTCCTCCCTGTAGAAGGACAAGAACTCTTTGCGCCAATTTGGTCCACCACCCCCAGAGATGGAAGAAAACCTTGTGGGTGATGTATTCAAAAGAAATCAAACGACGAACGAAAAACCCCACTTGCTGAGAGCTAACAAAGAATTTGAACACTCGGGGAGAAAGTTGGTGGACACGGAAATGGCTTGCTACTCCACCAATGGTGGCCTGAATCGGTAAACCCACTGACTCTTCCGAGAAGCGAAACTTGCAACGCCCGAAAGCGGCCATGAGAGCAAAAGAGCCAACGGAAAGCTCCGAGCAAGAGATTGGCAACCCAAACTGATGCCAGACTTCAGCCTGAATCTTGAGGCCAGACGAGAAGGAGAGACCTTGGACAGCCATGGAGCAAGGTCAAAGGAGATAGCTAGGGAAGAAAGCCGAATCTCCGCAAGGCAACGCCTTTGAGAACAGCAGTCGAACACCTTGAGGGGGCAGCACAAGCTTCAGAACACCACCACAGGAACCCACAGGAGCGTAGCAGCAGAGGAGCAAATAGACACCACCAGGTGTGATCTCAGTCAACTTCGGTGGCGCACAGGGCCGGCGCCTATGGTGGAGGTGTCAGAGAAGACAGCCACCAAGGAAGGGGAGTTAGGCGGTAGGGCTTGGTGGACGCCGCGGCCACGCGGGCCGCCGGCGGGCGGGCAACGGCGGGCGCTCTCTCTCTCTCTCATTCTCTCTCCCTCTCTCTCCCTCTAGTTGGACCTCCCGGAGGAGAGACTTCACTGCTGCCCTTACTGAAGGCACACTCACAGAGAAGATGAAAGCTCGTTTCTTCAAGTCCTTCATTACATAGAACACAATTATAGTCCTCAAGTTCCATATTCTTCCTTCTCAAAAGATTTCTTGTGTTCAATCTATGTCTAAGAAGTAGCTAAAAGAAGAATTTGTGCTTACCCAAATTACTAGAAGCCCAAAGCCAAGAGAACAGTGTAGAGGCTTCAATATGTCCAATTAGCAAACTATAGGCTTTCCTGCTGCTGTACTTTGAAGATCCCTAAGTATAGTTCCAGATAAGATTGTCTAATTTAGAGTCCGAACGAAAAAGTTGCGACCACTTTTTAAAGAATCTACACTGGAGAATCGTAGAGCTAGTCATATAGGCTCATTTTTGTGGGCCTGAAGAGCCCCGATGCAAAAAAAATACATTCATACAAGCGGATCACAGGTTTTGAGCCCTCATGCATAATGCATATAGGTGCCGAAGCAAAATATAGTCAGTTAATGATATTTTTCTAGCCAGCTCTAAACTGGCCTTACACACACCGGTAGAGAACCAAGTTTTGGTTTTGGGCTTTAGTTCAAGGTAGAATTGGACCTAGGACTAATGCCCCATTTAGTCCCGAGCCTAACGACTAGCGCCGTAGGCTGGCCCAGAAGGGATCTTCAGTCCCGGTTGGTGGAAAGGAAGTGTTAAATGTTGTCTTTGCAACTTGAATGCGTCAATACAACACCTCTTCTTTAATTGCTAGAATGATAAGTTTATTTGGAGATTGATAGATGTTTCTTTTAATTTATCCCCTCCGTTAAATATGGACCACATGTTTAACGATTGGCTTTATGGGGTAGAGAAGAAACTTAAGTATCAGGACATGGTGGAGTTTGTGCCATTTTCTGGGCAATTTGGCTAAACCGAAATGACGAGGTTTTTAACAGAACATGAGCTTCTTCTATGCAGGTGGTGTTTAGAGGGACATATTGGAGTCACTTTTGGGCGATGCTGCAAAAGGAGAAGAAAAGGCCCCATATACAATGGGGTGCCTTGTGCTTGAGACTACAGCGATGGAGTTTTTTTCCTCATGTGGTTGGTGGTTTAGTAATAGACTTCCTTTTATTTGATTTAGTGCATTGGATGTGTCGAACGTTTGTTTTGGTCACTTTGGTTTCTTTTCGGATAGTGTCGTGGTTGTAATAATGGATAGCTATGTATCGATTGATACAGAGGCTGAGATATTAGTGCATATTCCATTTTCTAAAAAAAAATGCTGGCAATACCGGCGTTCCATTTATAATACAAAATGTCATATACACTCTGTTTTGTCGCTTTAGTTTTGGCCTAAGTCAAACTTGTTTAACTTTAGCTAAGTTTATAAAAAATATATTAATATTTATAATACATAAATTAAATATTAAATTCAATTCATGGTGTATCTAATGAAATTAGTTTGATGTTCTAGATGCAATTATATTTTACTATGAACTTGGATAAAGTTGGACAAGTTTGACTTAAGCCAAATCTCAATTGAACTATAATTTGGAACGGAGGGGGTATGAAACTGAATAATTATCATGGCTTAAATAGTGCACTTGTCTTCCTTGATATGTTTACCTAAATTAAAAGAAATACTACAAAAGAGTTATGCTGACAAGAGAATAAGGCCTATCGAATTTGAGGTAGGTGACTACGTATACCTCAAGGTATCACCCATGAAAAAGGTGCAACGGTTTGATGTGAAAAGCAAACTAGCACCTAGATATGTAGGCCCATACCAGATCATCGAGCGAAATGGAAGGGTAGCTTACAAGCTACAGTTACCTCAAGAGATGCGAGCCATATTCAATGTCTTTCATATTTCTCAACTTAAAAAATGTCTTCGCATACCTGATGAAGCCATTGAACCCGTCAATATTAAGCTCCAATCAGATTTGACTTATGAAGAAAAACCAATCCAAGTGTTGGAAGAAATGGAAAGAGTGACCTAGAGCAGGGTCATCAAGTTCTACAAAGTGGTGTGAGATAACCACAGTGAACAAGATGCCACGTGGGAACGGGAGGATTATTTACGTGAGGTTTATCCCGCCTTTTATGAAAAATGGTAGGTCTTTCAAATCTCGAGGCGAGATTTCTATAAGGGGGAGGAGGCTGTAACACCCTAGTGTTAAGCATTGCATTTGACACTTGCATTTCATGAGCACAAGCATCATCCAAGCATTCATGAGCATAAGCATATGAAATTTCATCTTATTCTTTACATATTATCACATGTGATGTTGATTATATACATGCATATGCTTGTGATCATGAGTGACCAATACAAGACATGGTTGTGAGGTCACAAAAACACCTTGGACATGTCTAGGATGGTAAATGGAACAATGTTTGTATTCATGACATGGGTCAATTTTGCTTCTAAGTCCAAGTTTACTCATAATGTCATTTTTCATGATCCTATTTTGACCAGAGTTGAACTATAGCTTAGAGTGTTTGCATGACAGTGCACCCTTAATAAAAGTTGTAGCTCTTGATATGGGTAACAAACTTTGTTTTAAGTCCCTAAGCTAATTCAGTGCCTAACATAGTAAAAAACAACTCCAAAGTAGCAATGAAATGTTGTTTCTAGACTTCAAAATTTTGCAAGTCAAAATGCAGATTTCAGTTACAAGTGCACCACTTTGGAGCTCTGTAGTTTGAAAACCATAGCGATTTCGGCAATGCTTCTTAAAGCAAAGTTGAAGATCTCACATAGCTCTACAACTTTCACTAAAACTATTTTCACTAAATCGTCATGGATTAGGAGTTACCGGTGCACGAAATCGCTCTGTCAGTCGGCTCCTACACCCGTCTGAACCGGCCGGGGCAACAGCCGTCGTGGCCGACCGACCACAAGCCGCGGCCGCCCCTTGGCGTCGGTACACCGGCGCCGGCCCTGCGCGTTAGGCCGGAGCGGGCAGAAGATGGCGTCGCGTCGCGCTCGCTCACTCTCTCTGCCTCGCCTCGCTCTCGCTCTCTCTCTCCCGCAGCTGAGCAGCACCATCGCCGCCGAGCACTGTCATGCTCGCTCGCTGTCATCGCTGCACCTCCATCCGATCCATCGCGCTCACATAAGAAATGACCCAACTAATTCCATGAGGCAACCTGCTTTAGCCAAACAAAACAGAAGACATGCAAGTCTCCGAAGGCAGCTCTATTAAACTTACTTTTTTTCCTATGATACTTGATGACAACCTGCATTAGAAAAAAATGATACATTAAGTTAGAATGATCACAAACACATAGGCATTCTAATATAAAATTTCTTGTTACATGTTCTTTGTGGCTAAACTAGAATATAAAATGATCAGAGAGGTGAGCTAGATTAAGCTACTCGTCACTTGTTCTTTATGGCCTATAGTAATATAGAATTTCTTTCTAGCAACATAAATTCCCTAACAG